TGATGAGCAACCAGGTCCACATTCAGACAACATTGATAGATATGTCGATCATATTTTACGGCATTTCAATGAGAAGTTTGAAGCATACACGCAGTACGAATATGCACTTCAAGATTTTCTACAGTACATCGATACGAATAAGACACTCGACAAGTTGGCAGACTGGTTGATCGATGGCAAAGAAACATTCGTATTTGTCGGTGAAAATTTCATTGCTGCCGACTCAGAAGCAAAAGGTTATTTATTTATTTATGATTGAAGTTATAACACCATTATATTGAGTTTGCCAAATACTATTTGTGATTTTATTTAAAAAATAGGTTATATTCGGTCGAAAGTACGCGATTTATTTGAGAAAATGAAGCGACGGCGCAACTGTACAGTGGTCAAAGTGGATGAATTTCGAACAACAAAGGTGTGCTCATTGTGTTTCAAAGACTTGGAATTTCCGAAGAAAGGTGATCGTGTGAAGATGAAGTATCGATACTTTACTTGTCGTGGATGCGAACCATTGCCAGAAGGAAATAAACCACATGGTCCCATCGATTCACGGAAGAGTAATCATCTTTTGACGAAACAACGAAAACATCGACCTCGTCCTGGACCACGTATGGCATCAAAATTCCGACGCTACGAAGAAAAACGGACAATTGGTCGTACTATCACATGGAATCGTGATACAAACGCCGGTCGCAATATACTCTACAAAGGTTTGTGCATTTGATTGAATCGATTTCTCAATATGAACAATAAGTAATGAATTTGTTATTTGTTAAACAATTCAAACATAGGACGGTGTGCTGTAATGAATGAAGAACTACACCCCGTATTTCAAAGACCTACAGCACCCATTCAGGTAAAAAAAAAAATATCAAATTTCATTATGCAATATTTAAAATGCTACTAACTATGTTTAACTTGAATTTCACATTAAGTATTGTTATTATAATCATTACTTTCAGAATCAACAACCAATACAAGGAACATCGCGTTCTATCCAAGATCAAGCACGAAACTCTCGGCCGTAAGCCCTGGGTATTGTGCGGGATGTCATCGTGGTCTTATTATAGCTACTTTTAGTAAGTATTCAAATTTAATCCTATAGTGGTAACATTTAATCCTTTTTACACCGTATGTGCCATTTTATGCCAATATTTTGTTTCATTTTCTTCATCATGTCAATTCGTATGCAATGTGCACTCTCCGGTGCTCTGTGGCCTGATGTTATTGTTATATGCATATTGTATGTTTGCACTAAGCACGAAATTTCATTCTATTATTCGTTTCAAGAAAGAAAAAAAAACACACTTCACTCTCGCTCTTTCTCTAGCAAACGGGTTTTTGTTTTTAGCAATAATTTTTTATTATATTTGTCTTATACATGCATTCACAAAATGTAAGGAATTGCAGTTGTTGTTGCATATTTCTGGGTGTGAGAATTATTTGAGGAGTGCAACAAACAAACGACCGAAACGAACAGCAGGGAAAAATGGAACATACAAACAGTTTTGTGGCATTTTGTGTATTATTAATAAATTATTTCTGTATGAATTTTTTTTTCTGTTTGTCTCATTTCGTTGGTTTTTCACAATCATTTTTCGTGTAGACACTTGGGCATTTCCAAAGACATTCGCAGCCAAATGTGGTAAATTCGATGAAGGGGAGACAACAGAGATTGGAAGACAAATGAGTGTGCGTTGAAAGTCTGACAAAGAGATAATTAAAATGAACAAAACGATTTTCTCATTAAATTTCATGATAATCATGCATTAATGCATTGCATTCGTTATTGTTATCATTATCGGTTCAATTGTAATAACAATTTTCGGCAAAACAATTCGGTTTGGTAAAAAAATGATGTAAGATTTGTATTGTACGAATTGTTTGGTTCAATGAGGCCAATGCATTTGTACAAATGTCAAAAATCATTGCAAATGAAATTAGTTCTTGCGGAAACTTTCTTCATTGATACATCGTTCCCGAAAGGAATTGGCTTCTTCTTGGTGATGTGTATACTGTGTATCAATTTTAAATGTTCATTATGTTGAGCACCATTTTAACATCTTCTTTTCAGTTGAAAGTGCACAGTAGTCGTGCTTGTTGTTGTACAATTTTTTTTTACTCTTTCGATAGAATGTGCATGAGAAATCGTGTGACTATTTTTGTGTGGACCCTACGCAAATATCACAGACACTCTCACATGCACACAATTAATTTCAGTTACTGGTCACACGCTTACGATTTTAGTATGTTCATTGCTTAGATGTGTGTGTGTGTGTGTGTGTGTGTGTGTGTGTGTGTCGGTTTTTCGCTCTTTCCATTCGTGCTCCATTCAGTTTATGTGCTTGCTAAATTATGAATAAGTTTCTCAAGTGAAAAAAAAAGAGATACGAAATGAGCACACACAGCACACAGGCAACACAATCATAATAATCAACTACACGAAGTCATTAAGTAACGACACAAAAAAGGAATGTAAATGTTTTTAAGGCTACGCTATAAAATTGAACAATGTTGCTGGCACCAACAAAGTATAGTGAACTTGTCGTGTGCGTTTTTCTTCTTTTTTTCGCCGCTGCCGTTTCCAATTTTCGTGCATCGAAACCAATGTTTGGGTGTATGCAAGAGAGAGAACAGCAAACACAAAAGACACTACATTGGACGAAAAGAAGAGAAAGAGACAGAACGAACGAGCAAAACCAAAATTCAACAGAACGCCATACAATTCATCCAGTAGAGTGAATCGTTATCACTGACTTTATAGTCACTAGCAAATCGCTCTTAAATAAGATTGCTTGCAATGAAATTTAAGTACAATTTAATAAAATTTCAGAAGAAAAATTAATGCACCAGCTGTGCATCACATAATATGTGTGTGTGTGTGAAAGAGAAAGCGAGAGAGAGAGAGGGAGAGAGAGTATGTAGTGTGGTGGCACGTTCATCTGAATTGTGTGCACTCTACAATCGACCACATACAAAACATTTCATATTGTTATAATTGATTCAATAAGTTTTTGATAGCTTCTCTCTCGCTCCATCTCTTTCACTTCTTGCCTGAGTGTAATTAACCATTATTCGATTGCAACAAACACACACTCTCTGTCTCCATGCCTCTCTCTCTCTCTCTCTTTCTCTCTCTCAAATTTAATTAAAGCATCAAAGCATGAATATTTCAACGGATTTGATTTCTATTATAATAACTCGTATTTTATTGATAAAAGACGAGATATATCGTTGGAATAAAATGATTTTTTTTTATTGCAACTGTCACTCGGTTGACTTTTATTGAGAACGTTTGTTTGTTTGCTTGTTATTCAAAGTTGTTTGCTCATGATTCACATTTGGATAATAATCAGTTTATTGTTGTGGTTGTACGTTTTGTTAATTTTGGAGAATGTGATGTCACAATCGCTTTGTATGTCAATTGACTGAGACAAAAGTGTGCTTGCAATTTTGTACATTATATATGATTAATATACACTTGAAAATCTTCATGGAAAATTGCTCTCACATTTTGTGAATATAATTTTTGCGTTATTTTGCGTGTTTCAATATGATAAATATTCGGGACTTGACGAAAACGTTGATGAAATAACGTATTCAAAATGCAATTGGACGTTTTTTTTTTCTCTCGCGTTAATGTAACATTTCATATAATCAACAATTAAAAATGTGTCTGAGGATTTGTCTAATGGTTCTTGAATTTTCAACTTCTTTTCTCTCTCATCTTCTCAACGAACACGTTTAAGTGATAATGACGCGTTGTGCTTTGTGGCGCTTTGCATGCCACTGTGTCTGTCTTTGGTTTGTGCGCATTAAGTTGGCAAATTTATTAATTGTAATGAAAATAAATCTTCGTTGAATGTGTTCAACTGTTCATTCAATTTTCCATTTTTATTAAGTCATTTGGCGGCGTTTATAACATTTTATGACGTGAAGTGAATAAAAAATATTTGTTTGTCACAGATCGTGGACGTGAAAAATGTCATCGAAATACTGAAAACAAATAAACCGATAATGATTAGGACGCACTTACTGTGACAGACATTGCCGAGAATCAAAGAAATAGTATGCATAGAAAGTCTGTGTGCGCTTATTCAATTCGTTTGAGGTTAAGTGATGAGGTCAAGCCAAAATGCGCACTGTAAACGAAAGACAGAGAGAGAGAAACACACACACACACACATAAAATGCGCACTACATTGATTGCTCAATAGAAAACGTTCGTGGCTTGGGCAAATATTTCGAAAAACATTTATCACTCTCTTCGTCTTTCTCTTGTGCACTCTATGTAACTATTTTGTTCCCAGTGCAATACAAATTGTTGTAAATCTCTTACACGTCGGCAAACAAAAATGAGTGCAAATCGGGATGGTATGCATGGGCCATAGAAAAATTAAATTATATCTGGCAAGAACCACAGTGGTATGCGAAGGGAGTAGGGGGATTTCAAAAAATTTGTTGGGGAATTTCTCTGGAAAAGCAAAGACATTTTTTTAGGTTTCACTTTTCCTTTAGAAATTTTACCTCGCACACCGGAGGTCCTTAATTGGATCTATCTAATCGCAATCACACCAAACCGTCAATATTCTATACCGTTAAGTAGAGGAAAGCACCGAAAAAATCTAATTGAAAAAAAAGTTTCGAAGAAAAAAACGATAGACAATGTCTTGAGCTAGCACAACGATAGGCATTTTCCAATTTCTCATTTCAATCACTCACGTTCAAGCATACTCTATTCACATCTTTGCCATCTTTCCGTTGTCTTCAATTATTCAATTGCAATGTGGCTAGCCGTATCGGTATGTGAACACATTGCAGCATATATTTCTCTTTTTTTCTTCTTCTTACTTAGAAAGCAAACATAAAATGCACTTCGATTATTTGACTATGTTAAATTGAATTGAACGATGCTCGTCCGGTGCTGGGATAACATTGATTCGATTTCTATCGTTTCTTTGGACTAGTGATTATTATTTTCAGTATCTAAATTCATTTACCTTCAAATCACTTATCGATATTCGCTTGTTTATAACTTGGATGCACGAAGAATAGAATGATGAAACTTACCTAAAATTAAAGAAAAAGAAAATATTTGTTAGTATATGGTGATCAAATTGTTGAAAAATGAAAATTTAACGGAATTTAACATAATTATACTAAATCAATAGAGAAACACCAAGTAACATCCTATATAATTTATCAACATGTAAATAGGAAATCAAAAGCAAATTGCTTGCATTTTTGCTTCGACAGAAATCTTTTGAATTTTTTCTTATCTGTGCAAAATTTACAGAGAAATGTCAAAATGATTCGATTCTGCTAAAACCTCATATTGAGAATTGTGTTGCATAAAGATTTAACAAATATCGATTCTTCTCTCAAAATATTCATAAAATTTCTATGAGATTACTAGATGGACAAAACGAAAATAATAATTTTATTATCATTTATAATTATAGGTAATATGTAAAATAACATTTCAAAAAGCAGTTTCATAATTTGCGATAGCGCTCGATAATCAATTTATGTGACGGCAATATTTCAGCTTCGGTTTAACATGAAAAATGTTGGTGCAAATGAACCAAACAACTCCTACTCCAAAAAAAATGAAAATATTCAAATTCTCATCTGAATATCCCTCGATCATTTCGCATATAAATAAAATATTTTCCACTTTTTTATCTCTATTTTAAATAATAGACTCTCGTCAGTTTTCAAGTTTTGTGAATTTAAAGAGAATTTTCTTTATCACATTTTTCATTCACTTTCGGTTTGAAACATAAAAGTATTGTCGAGTAAATCTGACAAAACACATAGAGAAAGAGAGACACCTTTTGGCCCGAAAGAAATAGAAAATATCAAGAGCAAAGCGAAACAAAAAGAAAAACAAGTAACAAAGCATGTAGCCGATATTCGTTGTTGTGCGATGATGCACGCGAATGTGTATGAAATAATTTTATTTTATACGCTCCGAAAGAGTAATAAATGGAAATAGAATAAAATAATTTTTGAGTTGATTCTTGTGTTGTTCTTTGTTATTTCCCTTTCGTTTTCGTTGCTTTTTTCCCTCTTCTATAGCCTTACACTGACAAAACTAAGGTTATGATTTTGACAACACCGTGTTGTAAATGCTTACATTCCAACAAATGTTGTGAAGTAGCCAACAATTGTTGTCGTTGTGAATACATATAATATATGCCATTGTACGTATTCACAATGACAACAATTGTTGGCTACTTCACAACATTCGTTGGAATGTAAGCATTTACAACACGGTGTTGTCAAAATCATAACCTTAGTTTTGTCAGTGTACTATGTGTTTTGATTTTTTTTTTCGTTCTGCTGAATTCTGCCGTTTTCTTCATGCCTTTTCAGGTAACGAATGCGATAGTATGGTGGCAGCATACTTGCATGAATTTATATATTTTAAGTCATTTTATTATTTGTTGCTGCCATATAGAAAACAGTTGATACTATATATGAAATATATACAGTTTATGTATGTTGGTTTTTTTTTCTGTCATGTTTTTTATGAACAGGACTTGAAAATTGAAATAAACGAAGAGCAATTCTTGCAACAAACAACTATCTATTGTACTTGTAAGTCACAAAACGCGCACAGTGCTAGAATAATAATAATAATAATAATAATAACAGTGGCGAATAATTGTCGTTCATGTAATTGTATATTCTATCCATTTTATTTCACTTCTAATTCGCACTGCTACAATGTAGCCAACGTTTTTGCTCTACGTTAAATATTTACTGCTATTTGCTTGAGCCTTTGTGCACTTTTCCATTTATAAGTGCTTCCTTTCGCCCTCTTGCGCTTCCTGTTTCTCTTGCGAGAATGGGAATTCTCGCTCTCGATTTCATATACACACACACCACCACCACCACCACACCACACCACCACGAAGACATAGGTATGTGCCATCGTTTCTGCATTTGTTTTTCATTTTTTCCACTTTGCCTTTATACTAATGCCGCTCGCTGTTGCCTCAATCGAATGGAGCATTCCAATTTTCTCTAGTTTCTCATTTCACAGCAGTTGGATTCGATTTGATTACATTTGTATCACATATGTAAACCGAATAATGAATATACTAGCACTTTATACATGTGCCATTTCATTTAGTCGAATTCAGAACAATAGGTGTATTTAAACGATGACTGTTTTGAATTTCTCTGTATGGTATATGTGAGTGTAAGTTTTGTGTTGGCACAAGGAATGTTCATCAATTTTGACTTCAATACTTCAATTATTAATGGGCAATTTTGCCAACCGTAGGGCATAGGCACCTAATCGAGAAGCGTTTAAATAATTACTTGAAATGTCTACAACAACTGGATTAAAAACGGATCTGATTTCAAATTCTGATGCGAAGAGGCGAAACGTGTATGTAAAACGGCCGCCGGAGAGTATTAAATGAGCAGGGTGTATGACAGAGAATGAGAGCGAAGGGGAGAGAGCGAGAAAAAAAAACTGTAAAAAGGAAGCGTCATATACCGTCAATGTATTAAATTATATATCGCTTGAACGTTTCTATAAACTAGCCTTCAACGAATTTAAACGAATTAGATACATGGGTATCTCATGCCAAAAAGTGATGTTTGTGTGAGTGAGCATGTAAGCGAGCGAATGAATGCATACATTTACATTATACTAAGCAAACATCTTCCAAAACCACTAATTTATTTTTCGTCATACAAACAGACGCGCAAACATTTTGCCACCGTTAAACATCCGATACAAAGAAATGCCTAATAAAAACTACCCAACATATTTTATTACATCGTAGATCGGCTAAACCGGGGGAGCGAGTGCCAGTGAAATAAAATGGAAATCAGCAAAAAGGAGACGAGAAGAAAGTGAAGAAACCAACAACAACAAAAAACAATCCGCACGCATACACATGCCATTCACATTCGATGTTCACATTTTCCAAAGATTCAACATAATATAATCCAATCTAATAGGAAAAACGCGTTGCGATTGTAATTGTGGCAGCGACAATGTTGTGCTTGTATGCAGTATAAACGAGAATGAGCGCGCCCGCGCGCTCCAGTCTCTCTCTCTCTGTATTTGTGTTGGTGTGGATGGAAGTCGAGTTGAGATCCATGAATATGGTTTTAACTATATCATGCCGAAATTGGTAACCATTTGCTATCTTATTTTTGCTTGCTTTCGAGCAATGGTTTTTGGAGTGTTTCTCGTACGCGTATTTGGTTATATAGCAACATCATCACCAATGCGAAAGAACAAAAAAAAAATCAACAGCACATACATCGTATACGGCACCAAATGCTAATGGAAAATGGTTCCCAGTTGCTACTGCGCATCAAATGCGACCATTTATATCAATTCATATACAAACAAATGTGTAATACAAATACGAGCGTACACACGGCCAAAGCCGAATCGGAATCACAGCCATAGCCAAAGTTAAAGTTAAAACTGATGTGCCGAACAGTGCCAAGTCAAGCCAAAAGACAAATCGAAATGTAAACGAAGGGAAAAGCGGTGCACATACATACTATCTCTTTCTCTGCATAGTATATGTATATTTTTTTTGTAAAAGGTGTGAAATACTGCTATGCTGTTGCTCCGCTTGATTGTGGATATGGTGCTTGTCGTCACTAACAGAATAAATCATGTGCGCTAAGAGCGCACACCAAACCACTACTACATTACAACACAACACAACAAACGAAACGATTTTCCATTGTATGGGAAATGCGTTGTGCATGTGTTTGTATGTGACGCTTTGGTGCTGTATGCGTGTATGCGAAACATAACTTTTCGCAAGCGACATTGCGAACGGGAACGGGGTGTTTGCATATCATCGACAACGTTTGAGATAAAAGAAAAATAGAATAAAAAAAATAAAGAGCAACCAAGCTGATGGGTTAACCATTAGCTATCGCTATCGCATATTACATTAATGTTCCGTTACACCATTTGAGTTATTGTTATTATGTGCGTACGAGTTGATATCCTCCCTATCATTGGTATAATGTTTTTATATAACGTTTCGTTATTGTATCAATGTTAAAGGTGAAAAGCGGAAAATCAAAACCGTCACAAACTAAATTGTTTTGTTTGTTTGGATGCTCGCATATATCCTGCTATTGAAATGCTCAAATTTTCTCTCTCTCTCTCCCCAACTCTTACTCTCTTTCCGTCAATTTCGTTATAGCCATTTGCCCTCTCCATCCGAATGTTGATCGGGTTACTTTATCGAGTATCGGCAATTATAGACTGAACGTGTACATTTATTTTAAATTTATTTAATTGATTTATGTTTTTCATGTCTTTTTTTTATTTCATCGAGATTATCTCAATGCATTGTTTTGACAATTTTCATAGTCATTAAAAACGAAACAAATATGTGCTCGATTCAAAAGTGGCAAATGTCACGGTTTCAGTTTCGGCTACTTGATATTTGTTATTTTTGTCGGCTACTATTAAATGCCTTTGTGGCATGGAATATTAAAACAATATAAATCATCGTTAAATCAAATCCATCATAATATGTAAATTTCTTTCATAAATAAAACGCCTAAGCGCTTTTTGTTTTGCCAAGTCGCAAAAGAGCGTGCACACATAAACGTGCGACAGCATCATCAATTGATTTAACACTATTTGAACGATACACATAGTGCACGATAATATATGATGAGAGACAAAAGAGTAAGAGAGATACGGAGATACGGAATAAATTGACGTATAAAATTCAAGTGTATAAGTTTACATATTCATTTTAAAGCAGAACGAAAAATGCTGAGAAAAGAAAGAAGATGAGAAACCCAAACAAGAGCAATGGCAAAAGTAGCAAGTTGAAAAAAAAAACAAACAACATATAAAAAAGCAAACGCGACAAAAACGCGATCAGGCTTCGTGTTTCACATAGCAAATAACGTACAAACGAATTCTGATTGCGGTCATTACTAAATCAGCTCGCGCATATCACAAAAAAGAACGAAGAGAAAAATATATAAAAAAAAAATTTTTTTTAAGCAAAACGCTTCGAGTTTAAGACGAAGAGAATATGGAAGAGAGACAA